CATTCATCTGACTTTTTCATCAGGGAGGGGGTGAAGGATCGATAAGACACTAACCTCAAGTCTCGCTGTTTCTGTAGCTCCATGTGTTTACAGCTCCAAAACACAAGTCCAGTTGCTTCATCTTTTTACTTTTCATTTTCCATATAAATAGTAACATCTAGCCTGGGTCGGAGCGTATCGATCCTAAAGTTACTTAGTCGATACTTTTTTCCAGCTCGTTGTTTCGTTCAAACATAAAAAGCTTCAGTGGAGCATCCCGGCCAGAGGCAGGTTCAGATATAAACACTGAACTAAACAAGCAGGTCAGATAATGATTTAATCGGCTCTGATTTAAACAACTTCAAATTTGACGTGCTAACAGTAGCATCCATGCTAGCTCTGTAAACAAACAAGCTGAATGAGAAGTCACATCTTTTACTGCGCATGCGTGTCACATCAGTGCTGTGGAGCGTTCACACAGGGGTCTGATGCAGGTCACATTTAAAATGTAATGTGAACGTTCACACAAAAAGATCGGATTTTTTCAAAAAATCGGAACTGAGCATTAAGACCTGCAGTGTGAACGTAGCCAAAGTCTCTCTCTCTGCCTCTGGTGAGGAGGGGGGTGAAAATTCTCCACCTCAGACGTTCAGAGATGTAACTATCTGCGTCGCTGTTGTCACTCTCCATGTAGCATCAGTTATGCTAATGCTAGCTGTCGCGTTCTCTCGTCCTGGCCACACCTCCGCTCTCTAACCCCCCTCCCCCTACCCACTTTGATGCATTTTTCAAATTTCGCCTTGGGGCAGAGATATCTTTTCACAGGGGGGGTAAGACACACTTTAAATGTAATTTCATTGTGCACCGTACAGTGACAATAAAGGCATCATCATCATCATCATCTCATTTAAAATGAACAAGTCAGCTCAGTCTGGGACTGATCTGTGTCGTCTCCCCCAGCCTCGGCTGGACCACACCAGCCCCGGACAGCAGAGTTGGAGTGGCCCTACAGCCGCTCTGCTCACAAGTTCACAACAGTTTAGATCAGGAATAAAAAGGTTTGACGTAGCTCGTCTGTGCTGGCTCATTCTTTTGAACAGTTGGTGGACAACAGGCAAGTTAGATCTTACAGAGGGCACAGACCCAGCTTTTGAATGAACAAGTATACTGTTCAAAAGAATGAGCCAGCACAGACGAACTACATCGTCGGGTCAGGACTTTGCAGTCTACACTCCTCTACAGGCCAGCGGTCACTCTTTCAGAGACAAAGATGTTCTCATCCTTGATAGAGAGGAACGTTGGTTTGAGAGAGGAGTAAAGGAAGCCATCTTTGTGAAGAAAGACCGTCCACCATTAAACAGAGGTGGAGGCCTTCGTGTCCAGTTGTCCTCCTCCTACAAGGCTGTCATTGCAAGTATGACTCCGCCCCCTGTGAGCAAAAGGTGTGAATCAGGGCCCCAGTGACACCAACACAAAGAGGGAGGGAGAGACAAAAACAAGAGGACTTCGAGTCCCGCCTGCATTCACAGGGTATATACAGAAATTCTGATGTTAAATTTAATACCTTTTTAATACCATCCCAATGTTTTTTAATACCAACACGACTTCAAGTTGAAACTATAGCGGCAACTGCTTCAACCTATTATTAACGTTACTGGATACATAGTTATTTCTTTGCCTTAATGAAACACTGATCTATATACAATTATTTGTTTTTTAACCCTAAATTCAAGGCAAGTGTTTTCATTATGTGTAGGAAGAACAGTGCTATCAGCAACAGGTCGTCTGCTCTCGCATGTTCCAGGAACTCAGAACCAAAATACCCTGATGTCACACAACCATCCTCTAAATAACATCTGTGTGTGTCCATCTGTTTTTTTTAAACATGTATTAAAACTTTTGTTGCACATGAGAATGAACGGTCCAGCTGTGTTATCACCCCACCACACACACAGTTTTACCCTCACAATCACCATCTTTTATCTGCATATACATTGACAATACCAGCTAAAGAATAACTGTTAAGGATTCATCAATTAAAATCAGTTTTCAATTTTTTCATACTGAGTAGAGGGTTGCCTGCAATAGCTTTCAAATATTACCTTTTAAATTTTTCAAAACTGCAAAGAAAATCCCAATTTATAAACTTTCTTGTAGCTAAAAATACTTTCAGTTAAAAACTATGATTGAAAATAATAAAGCCTTACTAAACAAACCAAATCAACAGAATCTACGTGAGAACTGTAAATTATGTTTCATGTGATCCTGCATTACATTTACATAAAGTCTGATCCCAAATAAACAATTTAGCTCAAATTCCCAAAACCTTTTAATACAGTGTAGGATTTAAATGAGCTCATATTTATCTACAAACACAGAAAACTGACTTCTTCATAGAGAATGCCCTCCCTGAGAGTTTTGGGGAAAAACGATGAAAAAAATCTGAGACACAGCTTTAATTTTCTTTTGTTTTGTTCAAACAAATATAACTGTTTTGTGTCCGTTTGTACCAGTAAACACACACCTGTTGATTGATGTTTTCTCCCGGGTCATTCTTATAAAAGTCATCACTTTAATCTCCTCACCTGCTGCACCCGCCTGCTCCTCTCTCCTCTCCGCTCTGCTCCAGCTAACTTTAGCTAAAGCTAGCATCCACCGACACACGGCTCCTCTCAGGGGGAGGAGTCAGTAATCCTTCTGCTGGTTTATCTTTTCTGACTTTTAACAATCATCCAGCTTTGTTTTCGTCTCCTGTTCTTTTTCAGATGTGTCCTGACAAATACGTTTTATTTAAAACACCGCTCCAACTTCTGCTACTAGAGACACTTAAGTCCCGCCCCCACACTATTTCTGATTGGCTAATAGGCCTGTCTAAAGTTAAAGCTGCGTCTCAGACAGGGCCAGAGAAATGTTTGTTAAATCTGTTTTCCACGCAGCAGCACATCAGATTCCAGCATGGTGAAAGTGCGCTAGTTGTTTAGAAATTAATACCTCGTCAGATGGTGTTTATTACCTTTTAATACTTTTTAATGGCTTTAATTTTTGCTTATTTGATTTACTACCTTTTTAATACTTTTTACAACCCCGTGGATACCCTGATTCACTACATGGACATAACATGACACGGGTCAGGCGATGGGGCACGACCTTCTATGAACAATAGAGCTAATCAAGCCTATTGTTAGGGGATGGCCCTCTTTTGCAT